CGTCGGCACTGCCGCGAGATAGCTGGCTTCGACTCGGCTCGACGCGGCAAACATTACCTCATCGCCTGGCAGAGCCGGATCCACCGCGAACCTTCTCCACTTAGGATTTTACTAGCCGCGCGCGCCGTTACTGCCTTGCGCCACTGTTGTGTGTTGGCCGCTCGCGCGCGTCACGCTCACAAAAACGCGTTCCTTTCCTTCAGTTCCCGCGAACGTACACCACGTTCATATTATATGTATATTCCCCGAACTTTTGTCGCGACTTGGCACTACGTGTTGCGTTACATGTATTTGCTCTCGCCAGCCCCCTTGCCGTAAGATCGTTGACCAATCTCTGTACCGGCGACGGCGCTTTATCGTCGTCATTGCCGTTTCTTGCTCATTACGCGAAACCGTTCTCGCGATTGGACGCTTTGCCTCGCGCCAGCGACAATTCGCGCGTGAATTGTAGAACTTATCTAGTCTCTTATATATATATATATATATCTCTTTCTCTTTGCATCTTTACTCTGTACGCTTTTGCGTACCAATAGTTAGATTTATACGCGAAGTGCATAGTCCGGATGTTTTGTCGCACGTGGAAATAAAAATTCAAATTCGCGCGCACTTCGGAAAGTGCCACTTCTACGAGATTGTTGCGGAATTTTGTCAATTCTTTTCCCATCGCGACGTTATTATTGAATTATTATTTACTGGTCTAATCAAATCGCGCGCGCGCGCATCAATCAGCTTTCTCGTCGTCCGATTATTAGTCGGATTCGTCGCGAAGTTTCTCCACTTCCACAGTCCACTTGCATCTGTTGTTTATCGATTTATAACGACGCGACGAATTCTTTTTGGCGCGATCTCCGCGCGCTCGCGAACTTTTCGACGTTTTATGCGGTTATCGATGTCCCATAACGCGCTATATTTTTCAGTATATATATATATTCGTCTGCAGTTCGAACCGCGATAAAACTTGCTCGGTTTGTTGTGTGTGTTTTCGTTATTCTTCCCTCGCTCGCTTGACGCCTGTTGCTCTCGCTCGCTCGGCGAATCCCAGTCGTTTTATCACTTGACGTCAAAGTTGCGCCTGCTACACGCGTAGCGAAATCTATCACTTCCTTCATAGTTAAGCGCGATATCGGAGTGACTTATATGCATTCCGAGTTCGCGGAAAACTGTAACGCGCGCGAGTATATCTTTCCGAGAGACCACTTGCGATATCACGGAAAGTCTCTCTTCGCATCATCTGGTCTCACAAAAAAAATAAAAATGAACATGTATATATACGCACGTATTGCGTTACGTAGCGAGCAATACAGTTACACAATTTCTAACACGAGAAATGAAATTGCAGAGAGTTACATATATTATAAAACAATGACCTATCGCGCCCTTTGCTTTAAAAGCCATGTGTTACTTCACACGTGTTGGTTGATTGCCGCGTTGAAGCGCGCTGAAAGTCTCAGGACCTACAAACAAGATGCAACTCGCGCGGGAATTTCGCGAGTGGAAAAGGAGCGACGACGGGGCGTGGCGCCTCTCTCGACTCTGATTTACGGCTGGTTAAGAACCGCATATTATCGCCACGTACAACTAATCCTTCCCGGTGTATTTCCTCCACCTCTTCGTGTCCCTCCCCCTCTTTCATTGTCCCATCTGTGCGTCGTCTCACCCTCTCAGCCACCCCTGACCCTCTTTCACACCGGTCACCCTCTCTCTCTCTCTCTCTTTCTCGGCCGCATTTTGTACCACTTCATCCCTTCTCCCTCGTTGCTTCCTCCTTTCCCTAAACCACCTTACCTCTCACCGTCCATCCGTCTCCCTGCCCCCTTTCTCCCGCGCTATCCTCCGCGTTTCACCTCTCTCGCCTCCTTTCTCCGTCGCTCCCGGCTTCCTCTTGTTCCCGTTCCCGTTGTCGATTCAACAAGTGCCCGGTCACGCTTCGCAAATATCGTACGTAAGAGAAGGAGGAGACGTCGAGATTACGACCGCGACGACCGGGGCGCGCGCGCGAGATTGCGCCGAAATTTTCAAGTACTTTCCACGCCCTCTTATCTTCTACGCTCGGTCGTCCCGTGAATCAGCGGCAAAAGTTTCGCCGATCGACGAAATCGTGTTACCCGTTTACCCTCGATTTCACGAGAGCTTATCTTCCCTACCCAATACAATGTGTTACTCTTGCGCGATAGAACGAATATATGTGCAGATTGCGTGTAAAGAGAGAAAGAATATTGGAATTTAGTTTGAGACTCACACGTTCTCGTACATATTTAAATATCGTTATTTACGAAAACCTCTCGGGACGACAATTCCAGCAAGAGAATGTCGCTTTTGCTTTTAGTTTGGGAAAAAAAAAGTCGCCTGGAAAACAGTCGTTTTCTCGGGCGCGTTTAGAAGGCGAGATGAGATTCCGTCGCGCTGTTTTTCCTCCGCCGACGATTCCACGGAACGTTCCTCGGAGCTGCGCACTCGCTGACCGGTTGACCACGTTCGTCGTGTTGGAAGGAGAATCTCCGCGAGCGAGTCATATTCCAAGTAGGCCGCTACGGCCGGCCGCGGCGGATGTACGCGGTCGCAAGAGCAGCAAGCTGTTGCCGCTAGAGACACTCGAGTCATATCAGGAACGTAGCTATAAAATAGAAATGCCCCGATCTATTATCTTGACTGATAAGTCGAAGTGGGTCACTTTTTCAATCGAATTCAAATTACATGCGGAATCGTATTTCTTTAATTGCAAGGGGAGTTAATCGACGTAAAACAACGAGCGGTGCATAAAGAATCTATCGAGAATCAATAAAAAAAAAAAAAACCAAAGGAATCGTAATTTATTCATTCATTTTTTGTCAAATTTATCGAATCTGGAATTTTTACAAGTTATCGAATGCGCGAAAAAAAAAAGAAAACGTGAATCACATTTTCAAGCAATGTGAAGAAACAATTGCACAACGCGTAGATTCTGTCTCGTTGTTGTTCTAGTCGCAAGTTCGACCGTCATCGTGAGTATTGTGGCAAATCCGTGCTATCAGCGTTAGCTCGAGGCGGCGTTGGCAGTGACGCGCGGAAGCCGAGTTCGATAGAAACGCGGTGACGTCTATTCCCTAGGCGAATCCTATTAGATCGGCCGGCTCGTGTCGCGTTCGCGCGTGGAATTTCGCGCGGAATGTTCACGCGGCTCCGTTTCTTTGTCACCCGGAGTTCGCGTCACCCAGGGACAAATCTACATGGAAATTGATGAAACTTAATACCTCGCCGCGCTTAGAGCAGCAGAACGACGATTGCTCGTGGTCCGCTTCATCAGCTTTAATCTTACGTAAAGACATGTTACTACTAACCGCATTAGCGACTTGGACTTTTCAAAGTGAGAAAAAGAGTCGCGAAGAACGTCATCCAAACATGGAAATCCTCCCTCTTCCTGGTTGTCAGGGCGCTTTGTGTAAAATAATTTTGCTCGGCAGTCATCAACTCGCGTGAAAAGTTACGTATAAAAAAAAAAAAAAAAAAAATCTAATCAGAATACGTTTCTTTCTTTGGAGTTCGATAAAATGAAAGTCGGAAATCTTCGGAATAGTATCATGACTATTCCTAACGAATAGGGAATTTATATGAAAGTTGCGCGCGAGAATTAACAAAGTTTGGTAAGTGGCAATTCGCTGCATAATCGAGTCGCGCGACGGAAGTCAAAGAGACGATAATCGACTTGGGTAACGAGATTAATCGCGTGATTATGGACGTGATTGTGTACATCGCGTCCCCCTCCCTTTCTCTCTCTCTCTCTCTCTCTCTCTCTCTCTTTCTCTCTCTCCATCGGAACACATTTCGGATTTTACATCATTCATTTTCGAGATTGTTCTTTTTAGAGATAAAGTCCGTCATTATCCTTTCGACCTTGCAATGTCAACTGTCACTTTTTCATCAGTCGCCCAGAGAGTAGTTACCTATCATTTCCCCTTACCTCTCACCCTTTTTCCGTGAAATCAAACGTCATGCGGAGGCCACGTGGACTTGGTCAGTCGACGGACATGTCGCCGGTGACATCTCACGGCATCTCCGAGCACAACCAAGCGCCGCGGCGATACACCATTTGGGTTCCCTTCGCTTCTCTCCTCCCTTTTTGAACTCCCCCTACTTGGGCGTCTCTTTCTCACGCTCGCGGGAGCGCGTTCCTGCTCACGCCGGCGGAGAAACGCGTTTCTCTGTCTCCTCACGAGGTGAGCAAGGGCTGGAGGGAGGAGAACGATTATTTACTTACTTTCACTCGCGCGACCTCGTATGCGCGTAAATCATCCACGGCTGCGTGGGTATTGCTTTTCGTAGGGTCGCGGGAGAGGAGACGCGCACGCGAGAATTCGACCCGCCCTCCGCGATCGACGGAGGAATCTTCGAAAATTTATGATCGACACGACGTCTGATTCTTCGCCCGCGAAAAATACGCTCGTATGATTTTCACATCGTATGCGAACAAAATTTATAAAATATACACGCAAAAATAATTATAAGTAAATTTGAAAAAAAACTTAAATTCCTGAGCCGAAAAGAATAAATGCGCACAAGAACTTTCTTTGTCGTGTTTACAAGTCTGCCAGCGATAAGACTGCTGGAAGCGTGCGGTCGAAAGAGCGTCAGCTCTTTCGGAGGCGGCGATCGTTCGCGTTCCGCTGATGATTTCTTCCAAGCAGGGCCAGGGAGTCGCGTGACGTCACTTTTTTCATCGCTCCCGTCGGAGTGCCGAGCGTCTGAGTCACGTCCTCTCCCGTGCCTACTCTCTCGCTTGCGAGCGTCGTGAAACTAAGCGCGCCCGTTGCCACTTTATTGCATTAACGCCGACAAATACACGAGATAATGTTGACCCTTAACGATCTCAGCTGCAGTATACGTAGTACGATGAAATTATAACTTGCGAATGCGCAAGCATGTCTTTTCCATATATTATAGATAGTCGCGCTAGATGTAGAGAGATGTTGCTGAACGTGGAAATAGCCGAAGCTAATGGTAGCGATTTATATATGTACTTTCAGAGTTGTGCAATGATGGGTCTGCAGGCGACGGCAGGAAAACGTAAATTGGAGGGTGGTGTCGGCTGTATGGAATTCCACATGGACCTCGGCGAGAGTCCGTCCAAGCTCGGACGCGTGGACGGTAGCTGGTGGGCGATGGACGACACTTATGGGACGCCTTTGAACCAGACATCGTACTATGAGATGGAGGTGAACTCGCCTTGTTTGCAGGCAACGAATCCGTGCCAGCCCTCCACGACGAATTCTTCGCAGTCTCAGCAGCAGACGCAGCAGCAGCAGCAGCAGCAACAATCGTCGCAACAGCACCCGTCACAACAGCAGCACCATTCATCTTCCCAATCGGCGGTGCAGCAAGCGCAGCAGCAACAACAGCAATCACCGCAGCCGCAATCGCAACAGCAACAATCGCCGGTGTCACCATCGACATCGGCTTCGTCCACGGTGACGCAGTTGCATCATCACGCGCAACATTATTATCATCATCAACGTGGCGGCGCCATCAGCCCTCTCGGCAGCCCCAACAGCTACAGTCAGCTATCGAGGTCGCAACCTCAGTGGGGGGCCCTTCATCATTACGAACCGCCGACGATACGTCGCGAAGAGAACGGCAAGAGTTATTTGGAGCTCGGCTCGAGTTACCGCGCGAACGAGCGGTGTTGCGAAGGCTCGAAGTCCAGCTGGTGTCGACGCGGTCGGGCGTGCTACCGACAAAGGCGTCTCACCGTGCTGAACATCTCTATGTGCAAGCTCGCAAGGTACCGTCAGTTTCCGGATCCGAGTTTACACCGGTCGGTGCTCATCTGCAACACCCTGCGGCACTTAGAACGCGAAATGGAAAGGGACAGAAGTCCACCGCCCATGGAACCGGTCGTACCCGCGCCAATCGCTCAGCTCCAGCCGCCCGAACAGGGTAGGCTAACGCCCTTTCCCGTGCCGCCGACGTCGTCGGGCGAAACTGACGTGGACTCCGGCATCGGCGACAGCGACGACAGCCGATCGATCAACTGGGGCAGCGTGTTGTCCCTGTCGAGCCAATCACCGCTCGACCCGCTCAATAACAACGAACTACTTGACGTAGACATAGGGCCCGATCTTGATCTGGATTTTATGCCCGGCTGGAAGTTGACGCCCCTTTCGACGGACGATATCCTGAGAAGTACAACGACGACAACGACGACCCAGGAACATCATCACCATCACCACCACCATCACCACCACCACCAGCATCATCACCATCAACCGCAGCAACAGCAATCGCCTCAGCAGCATCAGTCGCAGCATCTTATGTCGGCAAGCAGTTGCGGCAGTAGCTGCGGCAACAGTAGCAACGTCGTCGGTAGCGCGGTAGGCGTCAGCAACGTCGGGAGTAGCAGTAGTACGCACGAGTCTCTGATGTGCGTGGGATCATAGCCCTCAACCTTGACGTCGTTGAGTCATCTCATCGATTTCTATCCGCTGACGCCGCAGGGTAAGTAAATCCTTGCGGCGGTGGTTAAGCCAGCAAGCCAACCAACCAACCAACCAACCAGCCAGCCAGCCAACCAGCCAGGAAGCGCGCAAACCAACGGAGTTCTGGAAAATGTGAGAGGCGGTGGTGGAACATTACGGCACGCCCTCCCTGCTTCGGAGCGCTCGAACGTCCGGCCGGCGACTCTCGAGGAGCCACTTCTTCTCCCTTGTTTTTCGCCTTAATTTATTGTCGCGCCAATTACACAAACACATACATTACACGTGACACATACGTGCGAACATGCATACATGCGATCAAACTTCTGTGACACTTTCGTTCTTCCTGTCTTTTTACTACCGCTACCACCGCTCACTCTCCCCCCGTTGTTCTCCATCGTTACCATCCATTTCCACTATTATCCACCAGCGACTACTTACCACTATCGTTACCGTTACTTCTATTACTATCGCTACTATTGCTAGTGCTACTATTACCAACTACTACTAATCTACTACTACTACTAGTACTACTACTATCGCTGAATTAATCGTGTCTCCCAATCGTATCTGCTCCCCGAGGGATGGACGCGTCATGACACGCGGCATTCGCAGGTGCAGAACAAAACAGAGCGTTCTGAGGGCTTAACGAACGGATTGAAGAACGGATGAAAAAAAAAAAAAAATAATAAACGATAAGGAAAGAAAAGAGGAAAGAAAACGAGGGAGGGATAAAGGAACGAGACCTTTCGCGATTCGACAGGTGCTGCTACTCGTGTTGGATGATTTGATGTGTCCCGGCAGAAATTCAGGCGGCTTTCGTATCGAGCTATGTATCGCGTGCGGGATCACACTCTTATTATTTTCGTCATCGTAAAATTTCGAAACCAGGTGTACGCACAATTCAACACACGTGTGTCTCGAAACAAGTTGTTAATTCGACGGAATTATCGCGATAAAGATCGTTAACCTCCCGGTGAACGCGCGATGACGATCGAAGATGTCGCGAACACGCACTGACGAAGCGCGTTTATTGAAGGCCCGCGAGAACACGGTGCACAATCGCGGAAGATGAATTCTCCATCGAGACTGGAAAACAATCGGAATGTGTGTCGTGATCTTCACGAGTCTTCCAGCCTGAGAAGAAGTCCTCGTCGTACGTGCGCAGCCCGAAGTCGCTCGAGAAAGCCGTCCGGGGGGGTGGGGGGGAGGAGAGAATTGTTTTTTCCCTGGAATTAATAATTTTCCGATGTGTCGCGGATAATCCGCGATTCCGGAAGAAAAACGCGACCGTAACACGCCGATATATGATATACCACCCGCGCACATTGCGTGCACGGACACATACACGCACACATACATATATTCGTACGTACACCTACACAACACGTATATAATAACGACCGCCGTGGCCTATATTACACGCACGACGCACGAGGTGACACACGCGTGCGCGCGAGCGCACGCAAGTCGTACGGTGCTACAGAGCGGCTGCAACCTGGTGCTTCTCAACTCGTACAGAGAGATACATATGACACACACCTATATACACGTGCACACACATTTAAGACCGAATTCGCACGGATCGCTCGCAGCGTCCGTCGCTCGGGGTCGTCGTGACGCGTCCTGCCGTCGTAAGCGGTTGATACAACATGAGTCGTCGGCGTCTCGAGTAAAAAAACCTTCGGTGCCGGTAGCACCGGTCCTCGTTAGTTAGATCAAATTTCTTACTTGTTTGAATATTTTATCTCTAAAGGTTGTAAATGCTGCGCGCGATCTCGAGTTATTCACGCACCGCGAGAAAAAAGGGGTCTGAACACTTGCGTTGGAATTGGAGAGACGTACATAGAGGCTGTGTAACCAGTGAGTGTAGGATCTTGAACATCGTGTGCGATCGGAACAAAAGATTATTTTCATATAACAAGATTACAAGTACGTGTATATATATCGTTCTTGCGCATAACTTGATTTGTAATAACTCTAGGATACACAAACACACACATATATATATATATGTATTTGAAAGTACAAATGATTACTCTTATTACTTTCACTCTTTGGAGCAACGCGTGTTTCTCGACGCAGACATTCACTGGTTTAATAAAAATAATCTGCAGATGATGATTTGTAATTGTTTTTTAACGCTTTTATATCACCGACGTATTAAGATTGTTCCCCACAAAGGTCTAATCGCGAGTCAAAATGTGAAAAATTAATGATGCGAAGTAGGTCCATTAGGTTTTCGAGGTCCATTAAACTCCAACGCAACGAGTTAACCCTAAAAAATGTATGACGTGGGCCACTGTGCGACTCCTTATCATTATTTTTTCATGTAAACCTCACATAACTTTATCAAGAACAAAATGTCAGTTCACAACTTCCTTCTGTGTATGAATAAACAGAAAAGTAGATAAAAGGATATCTCTGTGAAGAGATGCACAGTTGTGATTGAGATACGAATAAAAAAAAAAGAGAGAAGTGAGATAAAAAAATAGCGTATAAAATGATAAACTTAAACAGAGAGAAACAAATCTATTATTTTTTCATTATAATGAATCGTAAAAACAACTTCAACTTTTGAAAAAAAAAAGTGACTTGTTTCTTTTTTTTTTTAAAAAAAAACGAAAAAATTGCGATTGCGAGTGCAACAGTTGCCACGTCACGCATCCTAGACGTATGTGTGTGGGAATAAACGATGCATCCCCCAGGAAGATTAACGCGAGACGCCGGCGCCTTCGTGTGAATGTCTTGTGTCTCGGCGTACGACGTCGACAAATGTACCTGCATTTTAGAGATCGGGATAACGTTCCGCCCTTCGGATCGTCGCACGACGGCCACTGCGCGCCACTGATCTCCCGTATATGTATCATATATACACATAATTATATAAATAAACTAGAGAGTGGCCGGCGTGCGCTCGCGTGAAGAAGGTGAACGCTCGAGAGTTAAGGTCGATTATAAAAAAAAAGAAAAACAAAAACAAAAACACAAAAAACAAAGTCCGCGCGCTCGACCCCGAACGCATCCTCTCGCGTGTGGATCCGTGCGCGATCTCGCCCTCAACGTCCACGAATTCATTCGAGAGCAGCTATACTTAAAGAAAAAGATAAACGATTTAAGAAAGTCTAACGTTACGAAAAGAGAGTATAACTTATCGACTGATTACTTAAACGTGATGATGAATGTGTAAGTTAGAAAGAGAAAGAGAGAGAATGTGTGCGCGTATGTGTGTGTGTGTGTGTGTGTGTGTGTATGTATGTGTGTACGTGTTGCAAGTTGGACCGGGATATGCATGTGTGTAAAAAAAAAGTATGTAATTATATCGCGATATAGAAAAGTTGATTTATAAATTGTAATTATATATATATATAATATTCTCTCTTAAAACGATAACATACACATAGATACATTTACATACATACATTACACAGATACACACGCGAGATATGCTAAGTACTTGTTGTACATGTACATATATATAAAATTATGCGTTACTTATTAAGTCTCTAAGCTCTAAAGGATAAAAAAAAAAAAAAAAAAAAAAGAACGCGCGAGTCGTCGAGAAAGAAGCGAACCCTTCACCCCGCGGAAGTCGCTATGTATCCTCCTTCCCCCCCCCCCCCGGATCCTTCCATAAGTTCCATTTTCTACTTTATACTGTAGCGTATTGCGAGATCGGCACACCTTCTCACACACGTCTTTCCCGGCCCCGCCAGTTTCCTCGTCCCTCACCTCCCGCTCTTCTCCTCTCGCGATTATGATGCTCCCCCTTTCTCCGCGTGATTTCTCCGCGCGGTAATGACGACGAGCAATATTACTTTTTAACAAGCGCGGGAAATTTTTTAGGGAAAGAGAGCGTACGTACAAATCGATGCGCGTCTGACCGCGCGACGAACGCGAGAGTGTCACACACACACAGAGATTCTTTAAAATGTATGAATATTGTATGCAATTGTATGCGCGTTGGGCGTCGAACGCTCCATATAGCAACGGTGAATTGGATCACAGACAGATGCGAACATCTCGCACCTCTCAGGGAAAAAAAAAAAAAGAAAGAGAAGTGATTAGGAACTTCCTTCCGAGACAGAAGTTTTGGCCTGCAGGATGTCCCCATTCTCGCTCAAATATTCGATAGATAAATTTTTTTGCGCGCGATAAAACACTTTAGATTTCTGTTGTGTGAATTTTGTTTTTTGTCGTCTCACAAGTAAAACAACAATCTATTTGATCAGAGTTTTTGGTGTTTGAGACATAGCTAGAACTAAAAAGTGACCATATATTGTTGATATGTGAGAGAGGTGAGAAAGCACTCGGGACACCCTGTAGAACAGATTGAAATGAGCGGAAGTGAATCAGCGGTCGAGTTTTTCATTTCTAATCCGATTCACCCTCCGGTTATTGTACGCTGGAGGAAGAATTCGGCGTGTGCGTTTGACTGCTCCGCAGGAAAACAGAATGATGCAACATTCTCTCCGATATATTTATTTTTCTCTCGTATCATCATATATATATATATATATATATATAGTTATTTGTAATATAAACTATAAACTGTGCATAAACAATTATTATTATTAACAATTATTATTTGTGTTATAAATTGTTGTAAGTTTTATCAAGTTTATTATCAAACGGGATATAAAAAAAAAAGAGCCAAATAACGAGACCGAACAGATACAGTGAGTCCGCGTTCTGATATTCACCAAGATATTGCGCGACGCTCATAAACATTTTATTATTCATCATGTTTTTCGACGGAGCAGCTGCGTTGTTCTTCCACGATTGTTGTTGATATCATGCGTTTCTGTAAAATATCACTCCCTTCCCTACTTGGAATACCGAACACAACGATCCGTGACAAATCCGTTGAAAAAATATCCTACATATACCTTCGTTCGTTTTATCTGGACACATAGAGGCGAAAAAAATTGTATAGGACACATTTCTAAAGAAAAAAAAAACGAATTAAGTGAAGGGGTTTTACGAAAGCCAATATGCGCGTCCCGTGCTGGCAGCGCGCGTCTCACAACATCATTTTTAATTTTATTGCACAACTATAGAAAAAAAAAAAAAAAAAAAAAACAAGAACTTGTGATCTTTTCTTAAAAGAAATCCGCCTACGTTTTCGAGGTCTCTTCATCGGACATGATGAATGTGTCACGAAGAACACATTGTGATGATATTCGCGTTAAGATCTTCGAGACGTCTGTAAAACGCAAACCGTCATCTCTAGTTTTTTTTGTACACAGTTTTTAAATTTTTCTCCAAAAAAAAACAAACGAGAAGTGAGCGCTGCTCGTATCGGTGCGCGAAGTTCTTCGCGATCACGACGGGACGCGATTGATCGGACACGCGTATTTCGTGAAGTGCCTAAAAACCGCCGAAAGAGAAAGTTACGGCTGTTAAAAACGCGACACGGCGGCAAGGCCGCTCGCGCGAGTCTTCGGCATCGCCGACGACGTGCATACACGGTGTGCGACACGACACTCAAACGATTGATTGCGTTTTTTCTTTTCCTTTTTCTCTATACGTTTCTACTTCTTCTTTTTTGTTTTCGAACGGGATTGCCGGATGGAGGCGTTTTTGTGTAAATAGTATATATATAAATTGCGTGCGCGAAGATAGATATGTTTAAGCGAAATGAAAAAAAGAGGATATATAATAAGTCTATATATATATATAAAATATTGAAAAAATTATATATAAATATAAGATATTATATTATATATATTATATATTAAAGAAAAAAGGTGTATATGTATACGTATACGTGTACATGTGTGTGCGTATATGTGTGTGTATAAGATTTATTATATATATATATATATATATACATATATATGTATATATTTATCTTGGTAAATAATATACAAAGACGACGAGAGCGGGCTGACGATCGATCCTTCCTAATCGTCGCGACGAGATATATATTCGGACGAGATCCATTTTTATTTTCGCGCATCCGACGGTTCGCGACCGATTCGATAGTAGTATTTGCATTCGACATTGGGATGTCTATTTTTCTCGAGGTTTGCCGAGTGATCTCTTTCCCGATTGAGAGAAAATTTTCTACGATCGCCGCGCGTTTTGCTGAATCGCGCAAAATTCACAAGCGATTCATACAGCGTCCAGGGTCATTTTTCTTTCAACGATTTGCTTCTCAGAGAGAAGTCTCGCGAGCTTGTTTAAATTTTTATTTACGTTACAGAGAGCAGAGCTAGACAACCAAGTTCCTATTATTTGCGACGTCTGATCGAAAAAGTGCGTTGTTTGTTTCGCGACGCGAAATTCGAGCCGTTCGTTGCGTGCGAAATCGTTGCTTTTTTTTTTTTTTCGATCTGGTCTCTCCTCTGATTTTCTCCTCCGAATCTTCGAGGAAAGGTCAGAGATGAAGAGAAAAAAAAGCCGATGAGGAAGCCGATCGGGCGCATGTGCCGCTCCGTCGTCGTAAGAAATTTAGGGCAGGAAGGTTGCACGACGTTGTACATTGTAAATAATTAGCGCGAAAGACGACGGTTACAGAGACAGAGTTAATTAATTTAAAGAAGACGAGAGTGAAATACGAAGGTAAAAAAAAAAAAAAAAAAAGAGAGGCGGTCGGGGCGACGAGTCGAGACGGTTGCCGCGTCGGCCGCGTCGAACAAAAAATAAAATCGCACGGCACAGCGGCACTTCCGGAACCATCCCGGATTGCGGCAGCGTTTTTCCGGAAGTGCAGTACGACGAGAGAGCGCTCGAAAGCGCTCTCTCCCGCGCCGATTGACCTTTGTAGTACCGGCTTTCGCGCGATTCTCGTTCGCGAACGACGAACATACGAGTCCGCGAACGAACGATCGATCGATAGAAAGAGACCTCGCTGAAAATGATTGCGCGCTCTCGAACGAAAGCTCTTTGGACTCGTCCACTCTGATTCGACACCCTGACGCCGTAAGCTCTCGCAACGCGCGCGCCCACGGATGCGCGCGTTTCTTCTACGGAGTCGGAGATCACACTCTTGAGAAAGATGCGTAAATCGCGCGTCCGCACGCCGATCACTCGACCACAACGCAGGAGGAGCGTGGCGTTGCGAGGCCGCTGCGTCTAAAAAAAAAAAAACAAAAGAATAAAAAAGCAAGAAAAGGAACAATTGCAAATTGTAACGAGCGTGCGACGAGTTTTGAGCGAAGACACTGACGGCGGTCGACACTTTTGCCGTTCGAGCGAACGAGATGGAAACGCGTGCGACTCGGTCGGGCCCACGTTTGTATTGTACTTGCGCACAAAAGCACGTGTGCTCTTCGATCATTTAGGAATTGAGAAAAACAAAAATCACAATCGGCGAATAAGGCGAATGAGAAAAAGAGAAAGAGAAAGAAATCGCAATTACTCTAGTCCTATATGCGGTCGACGAATAATACGGCACACGTGTGTTCGCGCGAGTGATCGGGCGTGTCGCCATTTCCTTTCGTTTCTCTTTGTTCTAAAATCGCGGAGTTGTATCACATAATGTTCTACCAAAATATATTAGCAGCAGCAGCAGCAGAACTGACAGTAAAAGCGAAAAGAAGTCGTTTAACTGGACATTGAGTATAACAAAAGTTGAATAAAAACAAACTGCAGCGCACGATATGAAAAACAAGAACTATCAAAAACAATAAAGAGTATTATTCTATATATAACAATGACTTTTATTCTCTACCTGTCCTCTTGCCGAATCCTGGACCGGGGACTCCGTGTCAAACAATCCTCTGTGTGATATCTCGACATACGTAATATAATAAGTTACCTTTAGAAAAGTGCTCATTTTTATGATGATACTATGATTTATCTGTAGACCACATCGCACATAAATCATCTATAAATCGTAACGATATTTTTCTCGCAAACTGGACAAGATGATGCACAACTTCTCTCAAATATCTGGACACAGATTTTATCAGATCCAACAGTTCTTCAACAACAATGTATATCAATAAAATCACATCAGCAATAAAACGTCATCAATGTTTCAAAAATTGTTACTTACTTATATTTCTGAAGAAGTAAGAGTGATGTAAGTCTGAAGAACATGCGGTGGCGAGTTGACGTAGTCCGAAATCGTTGAAGCATTCTGCTCGTGCGTGGCACCACGCTCTGCTTCATCTCTCTGTTCGGAGTCCTGATTACTTTGGTCGCGCTGTGTCGATTTGGCACTGTGTGTCTTGGCGTGCCTCAACATATCGTTCTTCTGCGCGAACCTCTTATCGCAGATTACACAGGAGTACGGCTTGACGCCCGTGTGAATCCTCTCGTGCACACTCAGCGCACCTTTGCGCGTAAAATCCTTGTTACAGCAATGGCACTTGTATAGCTTCAAACCGGTGTGGATCTTTGTGTGCTGACAGAGATTGCTGGAGCATCTGTAACGTTTGCCACACACCGTGCACACGTACGGACGCTCGCCGGTGTGCGTTCTCTCGTGAATCAGTCGTGCCTCTCTCGAAACGAACGAGTCTCCGCAGTAGTGGCACATGTGCGATCTTTCTTTCAGATGTATCGATTTCTTGTGATACATTAACGAGCTTCTGCTCGCTAATTTCTTGCCACATTCGTTGCACTCTACGCGCAACCTGTCGCCTTTGTGTAAACGCTCGTGATTCGTTAAATTAGCGCGCTTCGAGAACACTTTGTTGCAAACGCTGCACCGCCATAGTTCCTTGTCGGTGTACTTCTTCTTAATGCCGTCAATTATTTCCTCCTCGCTGTGATTTTTCCTATGTATCTGCAGCTCACTCATAGACTTACACTTACACGAACAGACCTGTAATGTTCGTTTTTTTTTTTTTTTTTTTTTTCAAGAAAAATATATGATATGATGTATAAAGTCAATTTTAGTCAATTATCTTTCTTCGGAGTCTGACAAGGTTATTATACTTACGCTACATGTGTATGTTCCATGTTCGTTATTATGTCGTTTTATATGCGCGTTCATGTTCCCTTTTCGATTAAACGTTACGCCGCAGATTGGACATTTGTGCCTGTTAGACCCGTGTGTCAATTTATGCTGCCTCAATTGGATTCTCTTGTGAAAAGACTTCGCACACTGATCGCAAGAATACGGTCTGAAGCCATCGTGTTGATTCATATGCTCTCGCAAGTGAAATCTGAGACAAGATGCAAACAAATACAGTCTTGTTCAAGATCACAATTGAGAATAAATTGAGAATTATTACCGTGATCTAAATGAATTGCCACAAATTGCGCACACGTGTCTCTTCTTCACGGATTCATCCAGGTGAATTCTCTTATGACCTCTTAAATTATTGGAATGCTTGAAACTCTTTCCGCACAGATCGCAGAGATAAAGCTTGTCCGTCTTGTGAGTAGCTTCATGAACGTCCAAGCTGGACCATTTCTCGTAAGTTTTCTCGCACATGGTGCACATGTACAACAATTGTCCTTCGTGCAATTTCAAAATATGTTTTGAGAATTCTCTTTTGTCGTGATAAACCTCCTTGCAGTTCCCGCATCTTATACTTTTTTCGTGAGACATTTTGTTTGGTTCAACATTGCTTTGAAAATGATCATGCATCTGAGAAAATTTTGTTTTAACATTATCCTGTTTATTTCCACAATTGTTATCATCTTCAGTTCTAGATACAGTTGTACATTCATTCTGTGAACCATAACACATCTTTTTTTTTAGTATCTTTGAAGCTACATCGGTGTCAGAATTTACTATCTTACTTTCAGAAAATAACATAGAGTCAAGATGCATACTATCATTACTCCATATTTCCTGTGCCATCTCTAATGAACATTCTTGAACCAGTGTATTATATTTGTTCTCGTATCCTGGCTGAAAATGTTATAACTGTAGATTAGATATTTGCAATAAAAATAATTTTAAAAATTTATCTTTTTATACATAAAAACTATTTAAGCTATTTAAAATATATAAATAAAACTTACTAATAATTAATATAATTCTCTCTCACCTGTCCTGCAAAATTCAACAATCTCTTCAATCGCATATCAGTTCTTAAACACGAAACAATCAACAAGTGTGTAATTTCCAAATTGTTGCAACAATCAGTACATAACCTCTGCGGTGTGGAGGGATCCACTGTGTCAATTGAGATAGGCATGTGTAAGTTTATTTTCTCCTTTAATCTGTGTTCTATACCTTTGTCTGAAAAAATATCTACTCCTTGCGCGGCTGATCCACCGCAGATTCGACAAACATTTTTGAGATCATGATACCTGGTTGCATCTACGCTACATGTCAGTGGCACATCTACTTCTCGAAGATGATAGGACTTTTCGAAAATATTTGTTGAATCTCTTTCGTTTATGTCAGACTTCAATACAGCACAGACGATATTCATGTTGATTAGATCAAGGTCTGATTATCTACTTTCTAATATTTTCTTATATTTCGCTAAGTTATTAGTTTTTTGTTTACCAACGCGCACATTTGTACACATCCGAGCGTCAAGTCCAACTTGACAGTAGCGACATCGGTCGTCACAAGAACTAAACGGAAAAAGTACAAAACGTTCGCGTTGGTCCTACACTTTTTGCGCTTCAAATTTGTATTTACGATAATATCGAAATATCGATATCGAAATTATGACGTAAAACTGGTGTAAATTTGAGCTTTTCTTTTAAAAAAATCAAGTGGAAGAGAATGAAAGAGAGAGGTATATATATTACATACTTATTCAAAAAATATATGAAACAACAGTTCCATTGTTTGTACAATTTTGTCATTTAACAAATCACATGGAACAGTTCTTGATCTTCCAGATCCATAAACAGGCATTTAAAAACATCGTTGTAAAAGTTGGGATAATAGTCGCACGCTCGGTCGCAATCAGGAGAAAAATTGATCTCCAATAATTTAGGCTGCATCTCCGCTCCATTCCATTCCAGCATCAAGTCGGCGGCATAAAGCGCTCTGCTCTGCGAATTTTCGGCAATTCCTTTCGGCGGCGGCTGTTCGACGGCTGCTTCGAAGACCTGCCGAAAGACAGAAAGAATCTTCGGCTCGATGTGCGTGTTCCAAGGATAATTGGGATACTGTTTATCCCATTCGACTATAAAATCAGAGCACACCATCTTGTACAAGTGATCATCTGATTCGTAGTTCATTACGGTAAAATGTTGAGCGTACACATCGAAGTTATTCAGTGCGAACGGAAGATTTGCGAAGCGCAGAAAGAAGTTTGCATAAGCGTACGCGCGCAGCGGCCTCACAGACTTGAGCAGCAAGACGTATCTCACGTCAAATTTCACCTGACTGACATCGGGCCTGTTGTACAGAACCGGTCGCGTGATGTACTTCTGCGCGATTTTTGGCCCTCCGCAAGGTAATCTGAGAATGGCATAGAGATTATCCGTGATGTAGGTGTCCATGCTCCTGGCCAGATTCCATGGCTTGCAGATCCAAATGTTGTCCAAATTCTTTTCTGCTCGATGCGTAAAGTAAGAAACAAACTGCACCAATTCTGTGCTCAGATTATACGTTGTCGGCAGCCATTCCGGATATGTTTCCAGAGTGTCGTAGTCGTACAATTTATCCTTCGCTTTTCTCCTACATACAATCGACAAGAGATCCTTTATTGTCAGAACGTTTTCGTATGGGAATTGATTTACAAAGACGTTAGGCGAGGAAGCGTTCAATTCCTTGTAGGTTTTGTAGTGGGACACAAACCACAGTACATCCGCCTCTTCCATTATGTCGGTGATTTCAAATGCCGGATCTGTCAAGTAACTAAGTATCGTGGAATATTCTGAGTAAACCTTCAATTTTTTGCTGGTATCTATCTCGACTACATCTGTTCTCTCTGGTAAGCTTTCGGGGATATGTCCCGATAAGAAGTAATCTGTACTTGGCTCGGTTTGTTCGAAACTTTCATTTCTAAAACTACCGTCCATCCAAGGTAACAATAACGCACGTCTCTTTTCAGGATCATTTGTCAGACCTTCCGCAAAGTCTCTTGTGACTTCTTCGCCCTCAGCAACATCTTTTATAGGAAACATAAGAACATAAGTCTTACATGTTTGTGACATATGTGCAAAGTGCACTATCCTAAAATTTGGCTCGTCACTGTGATTTACAGCAGATCCAACTTCATCCATGACAACCCATTTTGATATACTGTTATTTCTCTCAACTAAAGTTCTAAATGGTTGATTGTATCGCCACATCTCTCTCAAAACATTTTCTATTTTTTCTTGCTCGTCTGTATCGGTATCTAAATCCATAAGAGAACACATACGATCGAGTAAACCAGGTACTTCGGTTAAACTATCTCGAGCATAACGAATATAGTAGGACCAAGCAAAATCAACTAAAAAAATATTGTTCTGATCTTGTGCAGAAATTCCATCGTCAGCAGATACAATCAGCTTCCATGCCGGCTCTGCACCATGCCTTTTTCTATCCTCGTAATCTATTCTCATTAACGTGAAGACACGGCCAGCGTCAAAAATCTCATTGTTTAATTTAATACATAAAACTTCCCAGAATAATTCTGGAACACCAAGAGCCTGAAGTTGCAGTTTATGTGTCTCAAGAAATGTAAATAAGCTTTTATCTATACCGTTCATTGTATAAAACTAAATAAATATATCTGAAACAAAAAAAATAATTTACTACATATATATATATATTTACTATATACACATATATATTGTCATACATGTATATGTGTCTGTACACACACATAATAATATAAATCCTTACTAGGTTTTATAAATGTCATGTGACTGCAATGTTTTTGTTTTTTTACAAGTACATGTAATAATCGATTTGACGCGAATTCAGTAATTGCTCTTAATTACTATGCTTCAACCATATCAAGTCTATAATCTCCAATATCTCCAATTTCCATACCTTCCTCGACTGCGTTCGAAAACGTTCTCCGGGTGTCTTAACCTATCATTTCAAAAATTAAGGACCTTCTACAATGAGATATTAGTAATAAGGATGCGGTCAACGTCTCACTGCAAATGTTTCCAAGTATCATTCCATCTTTATTCTACATCTAACGAGAAATAAAGATAGAATGATGCTTCAAAACATTTGCAGTGAAGCTTTGACCGCACAAATACAGGAATACAGGAATTGAAATGCAGGAATAGCAGAAATTGAAACAAGTCGAAAAAGTGCAGACTGTTTGCTACTGCACATGCTTCGCAACAGATCGGACAGCCATTTTCTCATTTCTTTTTTTTTCACTTTCTTGACTTCTTTCAATTCCTACTATTCCTGCATTTCAATTCTTGTATTTCCTGCATTTTCTGCGTTAGTTTGTTCCCTCTTGCTTAACTAAGGGAACACAGCCCTAGCCGGCCACAACACTGAATTTAGTGCTGTGATGAGATTCAAGTTGTTCGGATGTGTACACTCAAATTCAATTAAAGATGACAATTTTACTGCGCATAGGAGAAGAAAAGCGGGCAAAGTAGGGATAGCGTTGCGTGCGGGATTGGTGGATTATTTGCTGACAGCCAATGGCTGTGAAGTAAAAAGACTTTTTAGTAGAGAAGATGCGCGAAACGGACGGGTTTTTGTTCGTCGAAATTCTCTTCTCTAATTGAATCGAGTGTAAATTTTTAGTTTCTCATTTATTTAATTACTAACTTAGGGCCTCCGCACAAACTCTTTCTTAACGCGTTAAGAGCCGTCTACAATGGAGAGTTGTAGGCCGTAATAGTAAGAAATTGACCAATCACAGACAAAGTACAGAAGAATAATCGATTGTGATTTGTCAGTTTCTTACTGTTACGGTCTAAAACTCTCCATTGTAGACGACCCTTAAGTTTATGACTAGTAATTAACGTTACGTTACGTTAAATATTAATTTGTGCGTTGAATGACGTTCAAGTTTACGTACAAATCTAAGTTCATAGCCAACTTAACGTAACGTAACGCGTTAAGAAAGGGTGTGTTTAGCCGAAGCTAGCGCTACGTAGCGCTACGTAGCGGCTTCATGTAGCAGTTGCAATTGCTGCGTTACTTCTGCTGGACAGTATGGCTACGCGTAGCATGTTCTAAGTAGTGGCCGCCATTTACAATAATATCGTCTCAATTA